GTATACGTGTGTGTGTGTGTGTGTGTGTGTGTGTGTGTGTGTGTGTGTGTGTGTGTGTGTGATGAAAGAAGAAGAGGAACTGTTTGTGGGTAAGAAGAGGACTGGGTAGAAAATGAGCAATGGAGGGCAATGGAGGTATATATGAATAAAGTACAATGCTAAACGTGTGTGAAAAATGTCATATTAATCCATCATTTTGAATGCTAAATAAAAATTATAAAATATTAAGGCTATAAATATTAATGAAAAAGAATTATTTATCTAGTAGTGAATTATTTTTCTAGTAATGAATAGTTTTGGTAGATGTATTTTATTGGATTGATGATATGTGTTTGTGCTCTTACATTGTCAAATTTTTAATTTCATATTTATCATGTGTGGGCTTTTATGTTGTTAAATGTCTTTTCTGTCACACATCTTGGTAATTGCTGTTCTTTTATTTTTGTCCCATTAATATAGTAAAATTCATTGGTGAATTTTTTTGAGACAAGGTCTCACTCTAGTCCAAGCTGTTTTGAAATTCACTGTGTAGCCAAAGCTGGCCTCAAACCTGTTGAAATCTAGTTGTCTGAGCCTTCTGAATGCTGGGATATAGGCATATGCCACTAAACCCAGCTTTAGTATTGGTATTTAAATTCAAATTGTCTTGCATCCCTAGGGTAAACTATGCTTGATATTGGGTATTTTTCATACATTCTTTTATTCAAACTGCTAAAATTTCATGAGAGAGGTTTGCAACTTTGTTCATGGGGAATGCTGGCTGGTAATTCTTCCTGTACCATCTCTTTTTTTTCTTCACAAAAGTAATGTTGAACAAATTAAATAAGTAGGGAAGTTCTTTCTTTTACTTTCTAAAAAAGCTCCTGTCAGATTGCTGTAACATTTTGTTCATTGGCCAAAATTAAATACCAGCTATGCTTGAGGTATATGCTGAGCCAACAAATAAAGTATGACATTTCAATGAGGCAAGTTACAGTGACTGGTGAAACTTGGGAGATTTAACCTAGTCCCAACACAGCAACAGATTGCAAGTTCAAATAAGGAGATAAAAGCATTTCTGCCTCTTTAAGTCTTGGGAGTGTCAAAAAGGTGCCTTCTTTGCCCGAGCATAGTGTCTGGGAAATGAAGGATCAAGCTTCTTCTATATGTAACTAACACTGGGTCTTCAATCCCCCATACTTTAGGGAACTGCATAAGGCCTTGTCTGTTGTGAGTGCCTCCGAGAAGAAGCAGAGTACACGGATAAAGAGACACAGACAGAGAAGGATTATGGCTACTGCCCCTAAATCGCACATGCATGTCAAAAAATTGACTGTGGAAGAAGGAGTTCGAAGTAAGTATCTTTCACTAGATAGGGCACCTGAACCTGGAGAGGGAGCATGAGTATTTCTGTCACCAATCCCATCACTGACTTGCAGTATGACCTTCAGCAAGAACTCTGGTGTGTAAGAAAAAATCATTGTCAGGTACCAAGTGTGTACAGGAAGGATTTATTTGGCAAGTATTGGGGAGCAAAAAAGATCAATAATGAAATGAGCCCTCAATATGGGTGTGGAATATCTTAAAAAGGAGATGGTAGGGGAGGAGGTCTCAACCCAAATGTGACTGTTATTTTGTAGCTGGAAAGAACATGGTGCATCAGCTCCAGGCCCAGGTTGATACGGCAACCCAGGAGGTAAGAAGAATCTGTTGTCCAAGGAGATTTTCCCATCAATCATTGCCCAGACCCTTTCTATTATATCCCAAAGACAGTTTCCGTTTCTAACCCTATGGCCTACTACTCTTGTGGCACTGGAAAAAATCATTTCTCCCTGGACCTCAATATACTCAAATCAGAGTAAAAGGTTGGATAGTCTTCAATGTTTCCACAGCTCTGACTTCTGTGTTCTTATTTTCATTCAAAATACACTCATCCTTTATCTCTTTATGGACATATGGGTGCCTGATCCTCATCTTTGATCTCTGCCTCTTCAGGAGAGCCCTCAAGGGCCTGTGCTGCTGAGTCAGTCCCAAGAACAAACATCTGTGCCATATATTCCAGAGACCATGGGGCAACAACTGATGGTTTCCTTTTCTGGGGAGCCTTATGGGTCCTCTGCAATGCCAAGCATGTGAGTAGGACAAGGAATATGGAATTTACTGTGTTTGGGGATTTCTAACCTTGTGCTTAGTGCCATGGGAGATAGCATCAGGAGGATGACATTAGGAAGAAGGAGGTAAAGGAGTAGGGTAGGAGAAATCAGCAAGGGCAGATCACTCTCAGCCTTGACAATTTCTATCCATGAAGGTCTAGACAAGTTACTGTTTTTCCAAGTCTCTGTTTCCTAGCAAGCATGTTGGTGAACATACTTTACATCTATAGCACTGAAAAGAGAACTAACACAAGGTTTATCACATAGTAAGCCTTCAAAGTGTTAAGAATGTTACTACTTTTTGACAGAGAAGGAAGGTCCCATTGAAATCTGGGAACATTATAAGGAGGGCTACAGGGCCTCAGGGGAATGTGCAAAGGACAGCAGAAAAAATTCCTAGAGGTGGACTTGAATTGTATTTTGTGGCCAGAGGTGATTGGGTAAAGTGGAGGCAAGATGCAGTCCCTGAGAAGGGATGGCACTCACATGCCTTCAGCTACTTTCAGACCAAAACACAGACACTGTGATTCTTCTTCATCATCATCTTCTTCTTCTTCACTGTAGCCCTGGGAGGAAAAAGCTAGTACAAACTATTGTCTCAGAGATGCAGGTAAAAGAGAGACAGAAAGAAAAATGAGCCAGCCAATAGAAAGGACTTGTCCAAATCCCAAGGGTAAATATCCATGCGATCATTTGGATTCCCAAATCTTGGTATTGCAAATTCCTACTACTCTGTCTACTGGTAGTATATTTCTATGAGTACTTTTAATCCCCTGGCCCTTCCTCTTCTTCCAGGTGCCCAAGCCTGATTCTCCAGCCCTGTGCCACCGGTATCCCTATGCTACTGCAGCCACAGGTCCTGGCAAAGACATGGGATTCAGAACAATGGGAGGCTTTGGAGATGTGAACACAAGTGTCCTGGGTGGGGTAGGGGGTAGCTGGAGAAACTGGGTACTAGGGGGTCAGGTGCCATAGAATAGGACACACATTTTCCTAGTTTTCATTCTCTCACACCCTTTCTTCTGTAGGGCCCCAGTGCCTCCGACCAGGCTTCGGTTTACACTACTTTGGAGTGGCAGGAGATGCTTGAGGCTGCTGAAGCTTTGCTGGCTCTGAAAAATTCTTCTCAGACACGTCACCAGCCCTGTGGCATGCCAGGTATATAGACATATTTGGCAGAGGGAAGCTGTGTGATGAGCTACTGGTAGATAGGAACCAAGAGATGGTGGTTTTAACTACCTTGGATCCAAGCACTCAATTTCCTAAGGCTGACTTGAGAGATGATGCCTAGGGGCTACTCAGTGAATCATTAGGTTACTAAATGTTTTGCTTTATAAAAATTGTTCAGTGTCCTCACATCAAGAAACAGGTAGACTGAGGTCCCTGAGGTAGCATAATCTTGCTCCAAGGGAGACATTATATTAAGAAGAAGTAATAGAACTGGGTATAATGGCTTCCAACGTATAGTTGTGTCCCAGTCCACTGTAGACTGACAAGGACTAGGAAGACATGTACAGGGGATAAGGGTCTGAAATGGAATGAGATCATGATGATGATTTCAAGGCATTTCCCATGTAGATACAGCTTTATCAGGACAGCCTTATAAGGCTGAATTTTGCCAGTGAATTTCAGTGACCAACCCAAACAAGAAGGGCTTCATGAGATCAGAGGAGTATTACAATGGCTGGGAGGCTGAGATGGAGTCTCAGCACTGCTCAAACAGAAACACCCAAGGGAAATTGGTTTGTGGGTGGGAAGCCACTCTGGGTGGACATGCTGAAACAAAAGGCAATTGATGAAGCTGGAGAGACTAATTGTCACTGAGGTCTAGCAGAATAGGTGGTGTAGGGTAGGCCAGCAAATCTGTGAGTTGAGGAGATAGAGAATTTCCTTGACTCGATGAGGGTCATATCCAGAAACCTGAGATTTGACCAAAAAGGATTGCTGGTTGTGTCTTAGGAATGGTAGAGTTAAGACCAGAGATAAGGAATTCTGGTAGGGATTGCTATATTCCTAGTCTTGCTGACAAATCTGAGATCTGTGAGATACAGCAAAGGTGAAGAGAGAGCTGAAGAGAATAACATGCATGTAATTTGGCTCTGGTATTTGTCTTTCTGTCTTCAGGTCCTGCTGGAGAAAGAGGACTGCAGCTGGCCAGCCCCTCTATGCCACCCCCGCCTGCCAGCTCTGGTTCACTGCCTTCTGGACATCTGGATTGCATGTCCCTCTTGACCTAAGAACCCAGACTTCGAGGCCTTGCTACAGCACTGCCTGTTTGATTCCTGTCTCTGAACTTGCAAAATGGCTCCTGTCCAAAGTGCTTAATGTGTTTTTTAAGCATTCAGGTATTTTATAAGCTTTCAGATCCTTTTTATGATGTAGGGCAATTACTTGGCTTTCCTATATTCTTTATTCCCATCCCTTATTTCTTTGGAAGCTGGGGGCTTTTTATGTGTCTTATAAAATGCTTTGTGCAATCTAATATGACCAATCAATTTATTAATGGGGTTCTGAGTGGTATAAAATGCCAGTGTTTTCCTTCATGTGCACTCGCACATTTATCTGTACACTACTGTACTCACATATGTGGAAACATGAGGATTTTCACAATGCATTAGATTTGTGTGTTACCAAAAATAAATAATTTTATAAGGCACTAAGAAGTATGGGTTGTTTGTTAAGCGGCATATGGTAAATATCAAGGAATTCTACTTAATTAGCTAAAAATTTGTTCTATTAAAGCATCAAACAAGAGGTTCAAAAGAGCAAATTATCAGTCACAGTGTCTTTCAGAATTGCACAGCCCCTTTATTTGCAACCCAAGTTAATATTATGCAGCATTATGTGGCTCCTTCATCCCTGGATGATGTTCTATTTCCTCTAATAATATATAAACAGTTCAGAAATTGAGACCTTACCAGACAGAGAGAAATTTCAACTGGACTTTGTTGGATGCACTCATTCTCCCTCTGTCCTTCCATGCCTTTCCTCATTTCCTCATAAATGATTGATGATGATATCTATTCCTACTATTCCTTTTTCCCTGATGCTCTGTTAATCAGAATTCTATTTCTCTCCATCTGATGGTAGAGAAGCCAACATGCAAAAACAATTAGGATACGGAGCAAGACTGAAGAACATCTCATTTATCTTCTATTCCCTTGACCATTTGCATAGATAAGTCCTCACTAGGTCCATTCATTCCCACTGACAGATGATTAAGGTCAAGTATTCCTGAAAGAGTATGTAAGGAAGAGCCAAAGTTCTGCCATACAATGGCATCATCACTATGTGTTGGTCCTATAGCTGAGTTATTCCTTCTGTATTTGTAAGCACCACTAGGCAATGTTTCCCATTCTGAATGCACAGAGATATGTATGGTGAGTGCAATTCTTGTATGGTTTTTTAAATCATATCATTACCAGTATTTAACTTTTAATTTGAAATCCATTTAAGATTTATATTCAGATATAGTATGAAAAAGACATCCAGTTATAGAGATACCATGTGTTGAACACTTTCCAAAGTAGGCTGCATTCATATTATGATAGTCAGGAATACTTGAGTTCCAGATGTTTCTGAACCACCATGTGGGTGTTGGGAATCAAATGCAAGAACAGCTATCTTCTTTTCAGGTCCTATTCTTTCTGATTTTAAACCACAGTATAAAGTTATAATTATCACAGTATTCTGGTATTGGGCATACATAAAAGACAAACAGTCCAGGAGAATACCATAGTGTCCAGAAATAAATCCCCATACACATGGTTAAATGACCTTTGACAGGGGTGCCAAGCCCACTGGATGGGGGAACAATACTGCCTCAGTAAGACACATTGGAAAACCACATGGAAATAATGCAAATTAATCATCTAAATATTAAAATTTACCCAAAAATTACCCCAAAAGAATTAAGGCACACGAAGAAGAAAAAAAGAGTGGCTGAATTTAAATTTGTCTGCCTTTTCTCACAAGACAAAAAGATATTCCTGCTATTTTCTTATCAGGCCATCTTTGATTATTGACATCATTGCTTTGGGAACAATTTAATTTGTGATCAGTTATGATTGAAATAAACTATTTTAGAATAGTTTCATATTTACATAATACTTAATAGTACAGTGACTCTCCAAAATCATATAGCAATTGTATCCCTTTTGAAGTGATGTTCACACATATCCATGTATGGTTATTGATTGCTTTGTTTACAACTGGAAGAATAATTTGAATTATTAATTTAATGCCTGTGTAAAGGAAGCAGAACAAAACAATATGAGATATATAGCACCACTATATGTGGGTTAAGATCCATACCAATAAGAAATGCACCTTTCAGAAGAACACACACAAACAAAGCATTAGAAATGTAAATCCTGGCACACTTACATACCTATTACAGGAAAATGGAGCAGTGAATAATAAGGAATTAATAAATAAATAAAGGATTGCATTACACAGTTTGATTATAACCCTGTAAAGCATATAAATTATTGACTTTAATTCAATCCTTAAATTTTGAAGCCTTGGAATTCAAGAAAGTAGGCAACAGAAAAATCTAGAATTGGAATTTTTCACTGAGCATTGGTTGATCATGTAATTCAGATCATTTTCCCACTGAAGCAACCCATACACAAGCACTGATAAAAATGACAGGGAGTAAAAAATTTCCCAGGTGAAGACCCTGCAGAGGTAAACAGTTGCGCATCAGGCTCATACTAGGTAGTGTTTCATGCACTGTCTTGGGGCCAACAAGACAAAGGAACCTGAACCTGCCTGTTTCCTATTGTACAGCAGGGAGCACAGAGGGGACACAGCCTATTCGCTGGAGCAACACCGAAAATCTCAGTGGATCTTAAAAACTTAATCTTTGATGTCATATGAGAGTGATTATGTAAAGCTGTGGCCCTAAATCTACAGAAAGCAACAGCTGAACACCTCTAGACAAATTGAAAAGCAAGCAAACCTTCAATAATATAAGTTGTATTAATTACTTTTCTCATGCTGTGATAAAACACTATGACCAAGGTAACTTAAAGGAGAATGGGTTTATTTTGGCTTGTCATTCCAGAGCGTTATGGCAGGAAAATATGACAACAAGCAGTTGGCTTGGCAACTGGATCAGGAAACTGAGGGCTCACATCTTGATCTATAAGGAAAAACAGAGAAATCAAATTAGAAATGGTCTGAGTCAAAAATCTCTCAAAGACTTCCCCCAGTGACATACTTCCCCCAGCAAGGCCACACCTCCTAAAACTACTGAGATAGGGCCACCAACTGGAGACCAAGTGTTGAGATACCCGAGACTTGGGGGGGGATTTTTTTATTCAAACCATGACATTACGCTCCTTGGCTACCATAGTCTCATGGGCATATAATAATGCTACATGCACTTTTTTGTTTTTTCAAGACAGGGTTTCTCTGCATAGGTTTGGCTGTCCTGGAACTCACTCTGTAGACCAGGCTGGCCTTGAACTCATAGAGATCCACATGTCTCTGCCCCCTGAGTGCCTGGATTAAAGGTGTGTGCCACCACTGCCCAGCTGCAAAATGCATTTTGCTCAATTTCAAAGGTCCCCACAGACAGTCTCAACACTGTTTAAAAGTCCAAAGTCTCTATTGAGACTAAAGGCAATTTCTTAATTGCACCCCTGTAAAGTAAAAAAGCAAACTACATATTTCCAATATATAGTAGCACAGAATGTACATTTCTATCTAAAAATGGAGGAATGGGAGCAGAGTAAAGAAATACTGCATCAAAGAAGACCAAAACCTGTCAGGGTAAATGTCAAATCCTATAACTTCATGTCTGATGTTAAGACTTCAATTTCAAAGGGCTTACATGGCCCTACTCCTTCAACTTTCTGTCTGCAACATACAAATCTTCTTGGGGATGGTCCCTGTGTTTAGCTCTCTTTGACTGATATCTCATAGCTCCAGCATCCCCTGTGTCTTGGGATCCCCATCACAACTAATGCTTTAGTTTTACAGATTCACCTAATGGCCTCTCAGGCCTCCATACAAGGACTCCACTGCCACATATTGCCTGGACTCAGTTGGTCTCTGAATCCATGAAGGAAAATTCCATAACCCCTTTAATCTTGTATCCTTCATGACTTTAAATTCAGCATCACATAGACAGCACAGCCAAGTTTAGGTGTCATCTTTGGATGAATGAAATGCTGAAATGGCTAGAAGAACACATAGGCAGTACCCTACAAGATATAGGTGTAGGAAGGGACTTTCTTAATAGGACTTGGTTTGCTTAAGCATTAGGACGAACAACTGACCTCATAAAACTAAAACTTTCTAAAAAATAAAGGAAACAATCTAGTAAATAGGAAGTCCCTAGAGTGGGAGAGAACCCCTGTTTGTTACATATCTGATTGAGGATTCATGTTACATATCTGATTGAGGATTCATATCCAGGAAATATAAAGAGCTTAGAGCCAAGGGAACAAGTGGACTATGGCTCCAAACAAGAGTTCTCAAAAGAAGAATAACAGTGGCTAAGAAAAATCTTAGCAATTAGGGAAATGAAAATTAAAACTACTTTGAGATTTCATCTTACTCCAGTCAGAATAGTTAAGGTCAAAAAAAGGAAAAACTGACAGCAAAGTGGTTGAGCACATGGGGAAACAGGAACCCTCATTCACTGTTAGTGGAACTGCAAATTGTTGCAACCCATCTGGACATCATTGTGGATAATTCTTAAACACCAAATACAAACCTACTATATGACTCAGCTATGCCACTCTAGGCACATGCCAAAAAGACTCAACATTTTACTCCACAGATAATTGAAGCTATGTTCATTTACACTCTATTTACAATAGTGAAAATGGAAAAAATTTAAATATCATTCTGATGAATGGCTAATGAAAATGTGCTGCATATACACTGTGAGATACTATTTAAATGTAAAGAAAAATGAAATCTGCAGGTAAATTGATGGATTTAGAAAATATTACATTGAGTGAGATAATCCAGGCCCACAAATAAAAATGCCACATGTTCGCTCTTATTTTTTGAATCTGAATCTTTAGCTGTGAGTATATCACTTGGAGTGCCCTGAGCACATGGCGCGGGGTGGGTGAGCCAAAACGAAATGGTCTTAAAGTTATTAAAAAACTATAAAAAAGGACTTTGGTAAGAGTTTTTATGTTGACTGAGAAATGAGATCAGTGACTACTGTTCAGGCACAAGCTCAAGGTTTTTAGGTTTATTTTGGTTGTCATCT